TATCCGCATATACACGTGCAGATATATTATATATAATATAATATACATATATATATATATAAGTTCAGATTTGGCTACTAGTCTTTCACATGCAGATAAAAACATGTATATACTATTACTCTCATATACATATGTATACACATGTGGGAGTTTCCGAAATAGGGGACCCGAATATAGTACCCTAAATAGTAGGATCCTTATTTTAAGGACCCCAAAATAAGGTACCGCTAATTTTCGGAAACTCCCATGCATATGCATACCCACTCTGGGCACCCCGAGCAGGTCGTAGTCGAAGACCCGGAAAGCGACAGCAGCGCAGGCCTTGCATCGTGGAAGGGTTGCCGGGTTTGGGGCTCGGGGCTTGCTTTGGGGGTTTTAGGGTTTAGGGTTTAGGGTTTAGGGCTCGGTTTGGGGGAGTTTAGAGGTTGGCGCTTTTGTGGTTTTGGGGTTTAGGGTTTAAGGCTTTTTGAACTGGGGGCTTCGGGTTCAGGGTGTAGTTAGCGTTAGCGGTGTTATTGGAGATCTTTTGAACACGGGAAAGAAGGGTCGAGGGCGTAGGTCAGGTTGCTTTTATAGTAAACCCCAGGAAGTTGGAAACCGGATTAAGGCCAAATAGTGCTGGGATTCCCCATACATTACCCTTAAGGATTGAAGCTATTGGGTTTCCAACTTTTAGGCTTCTACTGTCAACAACCGGGCCCAAAAAAGTTCAAACTTTCTAAGATAGAGCTACTAATGTACAAGGCCCAAAAAAGTTCAAAGTTCCCCCTAAACCCTAAACCCTAAACCCTAAAATCTAAGTTTTAGGAGGGTTCGAAATGGGAGACTTGGTAGTCGCTCCTGCCGATTGCAAGCCACCGGTAGTCCGTGGACTCGGCCTGTGTTCGCTTGACAACGCGCCCGTAATGTAGGGGCCTTAATAGTTACCTTTACTGTTCCGAGGGGTTCCTTAATGTGAATGTAATTATAATATACCGGGCCCCGAAGCCCTTTTCTAATTATTAAGGCCCCTACGGTGTAGTGTGCCTTCTAGGCTGTCTGGAGCCTGCTCGTCCTTCTCGCCAACCCGTGTGGCGATGATGTGCTGGATCTTCTTCCTCTTCGAGTCAGTATGGAGCATGTCCACCCACAAAAGAGACCAACAGTCTTCTCAGCCCTGATTCCTTCATGAAGCCGGTGTTCTGAGAAAAGTTGCAACTCGAGCCCATACCTTTTCGCCTGGTAATTGAAAAATTGATGCCACCTGTGCAGGCTGCCGGCGTCGAAGAACGAAGGCTCCAGTTCCTCAAGGAACTCTCTGTGGAGCACGCAGCTTTCCTCGAACCACCCTAAGAGCCACGCGGATTGCCGCGCAAAAGGGTCGCAAGAAGATCTTTGGGATGGGATGCCCGATGGACAGCTGGACCTTACGTTTAAGGTGCACTTTGTGTCACCGAAGTGGTGTTTGGGTTTTACGAAGTTTCATGGTTTACACTGTCGAGTTGTGGTGCTTTTCGGCACACAGTCCACGGTCTCGAACAGCTCGAGTCGTCAGTTCGAGCTATCACTTGCCTAATCCGCTTTATGCCGAAGGAAAGAACCCCAGAGCGTTACCTTGGGAAGTGAGTTGCAACCCCAAGCTTGTCCCAAAACCCAACTCTACTCTCAACCTTAATCTCAACCCTTAACCCTTAACCCTAAACCCTAAATCTCAACCCTTAGCCCTTAACCCTAAAGCCTTAATCTCAACCCTTAACCCTAAACCCTAAAGCCTTAATCTCAACCCTTAAACCCTAAACCCTTAATCTCAACCCTTAAACCCTAAACCCTAAACCCTTAATCTCAACCCTTAAACCCTAAACCCTAAACCCTTAATCTCAACCCTTAAACCCTAAACCCTAAAGCCTTAATCTCAACCCTTAACCCTAAACCCTAAAGCCTTAATCTCAACCCTTAAACCCTAAACCCTTAATCTCAACCCTGAACCTCAGATCTCCACCATACACTACATCCTAACGTTGTACCCCAGGCCCTGAACCCCAAGCCAGGCCTTCAACTAACAGAACCCATAGCTGGTAGTAGCTTTTTAACCCAGAGGGTCCATATACACTACTATTGTCGAATTAGGCCCTAAAACACCATCCCCATTATGGTTTTGGGGACCTAATTCCAGAATAGTAGTGTATATGGACCCTCAAGATAAGTCAAACCCTACCAACACGCAGGCGAGGGCAGTTTCAGCTAACCCCCTGAAGCGAAAGCCTTTCAGTCAAACCCCTAAGCCCATAAACCCCTGTAGAAACCCTATGAAGCAGGCATGAAACCCCGTATGAAAACCAGCTGAGCCGCTAGGTTGGGCCTTTCAGGCCTATGAAAGATTATTCGTAAACAAGATCCTCTTAAAGCCGTTATAAGTATAGGCCTACCTAGGTAGACCGTGCCTGGTGGGGCAGGCTAATGCTCAAAGACTGGAGCGCGAGCTCCACCTGTACCTGTCCCGGAGCAGACGTTGATCTTGGGGTTTAGGGTTTAGGGTTTGGGGTTTGCAATATGAAAGCTGTTGGGGGGGTCTTTGTGGCGGTTTGGGTGTTATAAAGCTCTGCTGGGCCTTCTTGGGCCTTGGCTTAGGGACAAGGGCTGAGTTTTGGGGTTTAGGATCCAAGGTTGGAGGATCCGCTGGAGAGGGGTAGCACGCTTTCGGGCTCAAAGTCTACTTCAAGATCTAAGCCCTCCACACTGAGCCCTGCTAGATGGTTAGAGAATCCCAATAACACACGTGGCCCCCGTTCTGCGACCAGTGCTTGGGATTCCCTGCATAGAGGCTAGCGGCAAACGAGAGAGAGAGAGAGAGAGACACCAAACCCGAACCCACGCGAACTCCGAACTCCAGAGTCCCACCACTTTAGGATTTCCCGTTTCGGATCTTGGGCCCCTCAACCCTAAACCCTAAACCCTAAACCCTCAACCCTAAACCCTCAACCCTAAACCCTAAACCCCTTAAGGTCCGCCTCTGTCAGTAGGCCGGTGCCGTGGGGATCAAGCTTACGAAACATCGTCCGCATCTCCTTCGGGGCACTCCGGATCTCAGGCATCCCAAGAAGGGTGGGGAAGGTTTAGGGCTTTGGGCTTTAGGGTCTAGGTTCAGGGTTTAGGGTTTAGGGCTTTGGGCTTTAGGGTCTAGGCTCAGGGTTTAGGGTTTAGGGGTTTGGGGTTGAGGGTTTGAGATTAGGGAACCACTTGCTAAAGAGCATCCTCTATACATACTCCTACTAATAGACCTGCTGACTAGGTCTCCTGATCCTTTAAGTGGAGACCGGAGTGGGAGTCTGTGAGCACGGGGTTTTGAGCTTTTGATTTAAAGTTTGGTTGGTGCTTACTAGATGTGGTGCTTTTCCGAGCTTGCAAGAGCCTCAGGGTAGCCCTCCTGAAGCACAAACTCCATGAAAGCTTCCAGATGCTGGTACTGCAAGAGTTTCCGAGTTTGTGAGGTTTCCCCAAGCACACAATGCCATACACCAAGTGTCTACTGCATGTGCAAGCTTGGGCTTAGGGGCAAGTGCGCTAGGATTTGGGGCATAGGGTTTGGAGTTCAGGGGCCTTAAGGTTTCGGCTTTGAGGGTTTAGGGTTTAGGGTTTAGGGTTTAGGATTTAGGGTTTAGGGTTTAGGGTTTAGGGTTTAGGGTTTAGGGTTTGAGGGTTTAGGGTTTAGGGTTTAGGGTTTAGGGTTTAGGATTTAGGGTTTAGGGTTTAGGGTTTAAGGTTTCGGGTTTGGAGTTTAAGGCTTGGCCTTCTGTTAAGTCTCAGCATCACAGGTATCCGCAAACAAGTTCGTGCTCCTGATAGCTATCAAAACCTACTCCTTTTTTGAAGAAACTCCCATATTGCTGCTGTGTGTTCCGATGCAAACAAAAATACTTATTCTAGACCCCTATAGAAGACGAAGCCAGAGCCCAAGAACGGAACAAACCCAAAAAACAGAAATGCCAAGAACCGTGCAGTACACACTAATCCTAAACCCTAAACCCCAAACCCCTAACCCCTTTCGTCTACTCTTCACCCAGCCCAGTTCCGGGTGGCGAAATCGTTTCCTCACGCGCAGAGCCCCCGAAATCTGGCCGGACATGGCTTTAAATATGGGGGCTTCGGGCTTAGGGCTCTAATATCAGGGCCTTAAATTTCATTAGAATAGGGTTTTGGAGGGCCCATTAAGCTGTAATATGCTATAATATGGGGGCCTCGGGTTTAAGGCTCTAGCGACTACGCCCTCGGACAGATTGAAACGTAAAGAAAGTAGCAAAACCCCGCTGCTATATTGCTGCCAAGGTCCTTTCGGACTCGACCCCCAAAGGAATTTCTAGCGAGGTCAACCCCTGACCATCACTGCCAGGGATCCTTAAGTGGAGGGCTTAGGCTCTGGGGCTTCGGGCTTAATAAGGTAAAAGCCAGAAAGTTGGAATATGATTATCCTAAACCCTTTATGGTAGATTATAGGGTATCCTACCCTGAAACCATATTCCAACTTTCTGGCTTTTACTTTAAGGGTTGAAGGCTCAGAGTTGAGAGCTTAAGGCTTACCTTAACTCTCGAAAAGACGTATACAAGGAAATCATAATCAGCAGCTCTGAAAAGGCAGCTTGCTTACAGTAGAAGCCCAAAAGTTGGAAACCCCATAGCCTCAATCCTTCAGAGTAATGTATAGGGAATCCCAGCACTATTTGGCCTGAATCCGGTTTCCAACTTTATGGGGTTTACTGTATGTTGTTTGGGGTTCACGGCAGTATCGCGTTTGAGGCTCACCAGTTCCTGACCAGCTCTGCTCTTTTGGCAGGCGAAATCTGACCAGGACGAGGCTTGCGACTCTCCTCACTGTAGAGCTGTCCGGCAACTCAGAAGCAGGGTCAAAACCGCAGGGACTACGTTTTACCGCTAGAAAGTTTAAAAGGATCTAAACCCCCAAACCCTATAAACCTATACTTTGGGTCTGGGGCTTCAAGTTTCACCCTCAGTTGCGGACTCAAAACCTATCGGTGCGCCGCAGCAGCGGCAGCGCCATGCGTCGGAACCTTGTGGGGCTTTCAGTATCGGGTTTAGGCTTCAGGGTTAGGGTCCAGAGTTTTGGGTTAGGTTGTAGAGTTCAAGGGTTTTTTCAGTTATTTGTGAGTTGCTTCTTCAATACTGGAGCGGCTTTTGTTTGAGGAGTTAGGGTTTTCAGGATTCGCGTCTTTAGACTGCAGAGCTGAGGGTTCAGAGCTTGAGGCTTAAGGTTCGTTTTATGTGGTGCCCTGTGGGATCAGGGCTTAGGGTTGAAGAGTTTTTGGTGTCTGACAGTTTTTTCAACATGTAGGGAACAGGCAATAGGGCTTTACGGTTCACGGTCGAGGATTCACGGCGTTTGGTGGCTCTGGCTCTACGCGGTGGAAAGGGCTTTACACCGGCTTTCCGTATAGAGGTGCATAGGGCCATATGATGTTTTCGTCACATAGCTTGATGGCTTTATTGCTGGGTAGTCTCATAAGGACACACCCTCCTTGCCATGAACCCTGAACGCTAACTTGGGCCGCGGGCGTTGTAGTAGAGCGACAGCGCGCTGACGCCCACAATGGAGGTGGCCTCAGAATCACTTTTGCTCTGGGAGTTTCCGAAAATAGGGGACCACAATATAGTACCCTAAATAGTAGGATCCTGATTATAAGGACCCCCAAAACAAGGTACCCCGAATTTTCGGAAACTCCCGCATTGCTCTTAGGGCTCATAGGCTCTGTGTTAGGCTATCTGGGCCTCCCTCAACCCTGAGCCGTAACACCTCAACCTCAGAGCCTAAACCTTGGGTACTGCCCCCATACAGTAACAGCCTTTAATGGGGCTACTACTAAGGGCCTAATATACCTACAGTATAAAGATTCAGATTCTCTAACTGTTACTGAGGTGGGGTCAGTACCCAGCCTAAACCCTAAACCCGGAACCCTTTATCCGAAACCTAAACCCTATAGCAAGCCACAAACCCTATGCGATGAGGACTTCAACCGTTTATGGCTCGTCCATTTCATGGGCATTCCGATTCGTATCAGCCGCCATGCGAGTTTTGAGTGACTGTCATGAAGAGTAATCTGGTACATGGCTGAGATTTTCGGTTTGGACTGCCAAAACCCTAAGCCCTAAACCCTGACACCGTGAAGTCTGAACCCTCAACCCAAAAATGCCTTGCACGAAAACTTAAAAGAACGGAATCTGTTCAAAAGGTCCCTTGGCTTGGGATACGGGTTTAGGTTTTAGGCTCCTGGGGCACCCTCCGGCAGGGTTCTCGAGTAATGGTATCTCAAGCTTGAAAACTAATGCAACGAAATATCCAAGCATCTTTTTTGAAAGCCACGTAAAAAAAAACAAAAAGAAACATCCCTGTATGGGTTACTCCTAGTGAAACACAGCCACAACAACCGCAACAACCTTGAAACACAATGAGACCCTTCGAGAACCGGGTTCTCTAACCCTGAAATGAAACCTGCACGGGGCCAGAACCAGAAAAAGCACGATGCCCGGCCGGTGGATGACGTAAGAGGTGGCGATTGTCCTGAAAATTGAAAACCCGGGTCCAGATTCAAGTGAATGCCAAACCCTAAACCCTGAAACCCAACCCTCTGCTAAACTCTACTAATGTAGGAACCTGATTGAGAAACCCTGGCCCTATAACCCCAATATATCAGGATTCACATAAGGAACCCTAGTACAGACTCAAGGTTTTTTGATCAGGCTCCTACGTTAAACACACCAACTGTCCGAAGTCGCGGACACCCGAACCCAGGGTCTCAAGGCCACTGACTCAACAGGTTGGGCCGTCTGAACCTTGAGCACGATCACATAAAGCCGTACACCACACGCACGATGTCATGCACGACATGGAAGCGCCGCTTGATGCCTGATGCCTTCCACGACAGATGCTCAGGAACAAAAATCATCATCTTCTTCTTCTCCACACCCAAAACAACCAGCAGTACCATCATCAGCACCATCTGCGTCCTCACAATCACTATAACCGTGATCGTTCGGACCAACCAGTAGCATGAACTCATCCATGAACACGTGTTTCTGGCATGGAATTATTCACAGACTGACAGCTCCTGCACCATGCAGATGTAGGAACCTGATTAAGAAACCTTGGGCCTTTATGAGGGTTCCTTTTATGAATCTCCACTATTTTGCGGTTATCGGCCCAGGGTTTCTAATCAGGATCCTACACTACTATTTACTCCCGAAACTCGCAGTCTGGCAAGTCGGCACGAACAGCTGCACCGCCATCGGTATCCAGCTACATGTACATGTGGACGCATGTGCGCATGTGCATGCGTATGTATGTGTACATATATATATATATATATAGAGAGAGAGAGACATACATATATATATATATATATACACATACAGACATATACTTACATGTGTATATATATATATATATATATATATACAAACATACATTTTATGAGCATATAATACATTTACCTACACATGTAGGTCTGCATGCATGTATACATGGCCAGATAGATGGATGGATAGATGGATGGATAGATGGATGGATAGATGGATGGATGGGTGGGACGCATCGATGGATGAATGGATGGATGGACGGATGCATGGATGCATGGATGCATGGATAAATGCATGCATGCATGCATGCATGCATGCATGGATGGATGGATGGAGGGAGGGAGGGAGGGATGGATGGACTTACAGACGCAGTCAACGATTGAGAAAAGATCTAGACTATCGCAGATAGAACAGGACATACGATGATTTATCGATGACGCCGAAGACCTCCGCACGAAAGCCCAACCTAGCACACCCCTCAACCTCTGCACCGACAACCCGAAACTCCCTTAAACCCTAAACCCTAGAGCCTTATCTACACTAATCCCTAAACCCTAAGCCGTATACCCCACAACCTGAACTCCTGAACGAGCCCGAAACCCCGGAAGGGGTCCCGATGCTCAGCATGCAGGCGCTCTTGCAGGCACAAAGCCTCGTTTTTGGTTTAGAGCGCAGGGTTTAGGGCCATAGAGCTCTTGAGTTTTGGGCTTTTGGGAACTTCGGTTTACATCTTAGGGTTCAGGGTTTGGTTGGGATTTAGGGCTTAAGGTGTCGGGCGGGGATTTAGGTGTTATTGGGCGTAAGGCTGCTTGGATCACTTCACAGAGTTGTCAAACGGAGAAAAGCACCCCTAAAGCCCTAAACCCCAAACCCCTCAACCCGTAACCCCTCAACCCCTGAACCCCTAAACCCCAAACCCCAAACCCCTAAACCCCTAAACCCTCAACCCGGATCCATTGTATAAGGACTCCTTTCGGGGATTCCGTACCCCAAGCTTGTAACTCCACGACCGCCAGGGAGCGCGAGATGGCCAGCGACGATGAAGCCGAAGAACCACCTTAGGGATCATAGGGTTTAGGGTTTAGGGTTTAGGGTTTAGGGATCATAGGGTTTAGGGTTTAGGGTTTAGGGATCATAGGGTTTGGGGTTTAGGGTTTAGGGTTTAGGGTTTAGGGATCATAGGGTTTAGGGCTTCTTGTTTTAACGCTCCTTTGTCTGCCATGGTATGACGAAAAGCGGTTATTCCGCCGGGCGTGTGTGGGCGGGCACATAGGGTTTAGGGTTTAGGGATCGTAGAAATAATAGATACAGATGTGCAGATCCGTAGTAGAACTACATAAAGACAGGCAGATACAAAGATATGTATGCATAGATAGATAGACAGATGGACAGACAGATCCATAGATACATAGATAGGTGAATAGATAGATTTATAGATCGTTAGTCAGATAGGTAGGTGGATAGATAGATTAGGTATGTAATTGGGTGGGTGTTCAGGGAGGTGGGGCTAGGAAGGTTGGGTAGGTAGGGCGGTAGTCAAGAAGGTAGGAAGGTAGGCAGGCAGGGAGGTGCAGTAGGCAGGTAGGTAGGCAGGAAGGGAGGAAGGAGGCAGGCAGGTAGGGAAGTAGGTAGGTGGTAGGTAGGTAGGTAGGTAGGTAGGTAGGCAGCCGGGTAGGTAGCTCTAGAACCCTACGCCCTGAACCAGAAGGTCTGGACCTGCCAGATTATACCGAGGTGGGACACCCGAGCCTCTGTTACGCCCTCTCCTTGACTTGTGCTTCTGTTGAGGCTTCAAGTAAGCCTAAACCCTAAACCCTGAACCCTTAAGGTAACCCTAAACCAGTTAAAGAGCTTCAGATCTTCAGATGGCAAGAGAGACCTATGCCAGAGAGTTGGAACATCACTAACTTCATGCACGTCATCTTAATTAGTAAACTAAAGCATAGAGAATCACAGCACGAATCATTCTCAACAGATTTGCCATTTTTGTTTATATAGGAGTTTGTTGTCAGTCGCGGCCACCGAAGAGCGCTTGCGAATAGCGTGACAGAGGCAGGCGGGCAAGGCCGGCCCTTGGGCAGGAAACTGAGAATCCAATATGACACAAGGTGTCTAATGTTCAGTCACATACTTGTAAAAGGAACCCTATGTACACTCAACCCTGAACCCTAAACCCGAAATCCAAACCCTTAAAGCCTCTGCCTGCCGTGCACGAGCCATGACGTTTTCGGAACTCCGTGCCCCTCTTGCGTCTTAACTCCTTTGGGGGGCGGAGACAACGCGGGTGCCCATCCTTTCGCCGGGGGTGTCTTCTGCTTTATCTCTCTCTCTCTCTCTCTCGAGACTCTCTTTCTAGATTTAAGGCCAGGGGGGTCTGGGACTCGCAACCTCGAACCTGGGACCCTTCTGGGGCTTACTCTGAACTACCATAACATCGGTTTTGGTAGGTTCTAACTATGCACCCTAATATTAACCTTCATAATAGTGGGTTTTAGAAGTTCAAGGTAGAAGTAACAAGGGATTTAGGGCTTTCATTTGAGCACTAGAGTTATTTAAGGACTTAGAGGTTTAGGGTTCTCAATCATGACAAAGGGAAGGGTGTTCCTGGGTTTGGGGATTCGCGGATTTCGTTTCGACGCCGCAACCCCAAACCCATCGTCCAGTTGAGGCGCAGCGAGTGCACCAGGAAGTAGGTCGGGCTGAGAAACATATCGATGCCGGTGAACATCATCATGACCCCCAGCCTGACACCAGAGGTCCCTCCACCCCGAAACCGTAACCCCTAAACCCTAAACCCTAAACCCTAAACCCTAAACCCTAAACCCTAAACCCCTGAACCCCTAAACCCCGAAACCCTGGACCTCTAAACCGATGAAACCTGAACCCTAGCGTTGGGTGGGCTGGCCGCTCCGGTCTGAGGATGTAGCAACATGTTCAGCTAGGCTTCCGTTTGTCAGAGACCCTGATACCCAGCTTCGCGGCTACTTCTGGCTGTACGTTGACGCATCGCTGCGCCGAAATACTTGATCCAGAACCCGGAACCCTAAACCCTAAACCCTAAACCCTAAACCCTAAACCGTGTTATGGGAATTTTCAGGGTTCTCAACGCTCTCAGATACTGGGGCCTGAATAAGGCCACGAGGGTTTTGGGGTACAGTATGCTACATGTCTGTATAGGGCCAAATGATGCGGAGAGAAAATTTCGAACTGTTCAGACCTCTTTACTAGACTTTATCCGGAATCCTAACCGTCTTGTGGAATCTAGGGCCCCAAAACCCTAAAAGCTTACACCTGATGACATTCCAAAGCCGTGGAGGTCGGTTCTTCCACCCCGAACCCTCGCCCTAAACCCCTAAATCCATAAACCCAAAAGCCCTAAACCCCTAAACCCTAAAACCCTAAACTCTCTTCGAGGCACCAGTCGGCTCAAGGGCTGACGGAGTTCGAGACTTTGTGGATTTAGGCTTCGGGTTCAGGGTTTGTTTCAAGGGCCCTTTTCGACTGAACGAAGTCAAATCTAAGGGTATAGTGTTTAGGGTTCTGGCTTTGGGTTTGGGGTTGAAGGTTCTGGCTGTGGGTTTAGGGTTTGGGGTTCTGGCTTTCTTGGTATTGGGGCTTAGGGAGGTAGAGGTTTTTGGCAGCCATGGTACACCCGGAAGAAGTAGGTTCGACAGTCGCCATAACCGTCCAACTCCTTCAGGGCGGAGGTCTAAACCCTAAGCCCGGGACCCGTACAGTAGAAGCCAGAAAGATGGAACAGGGTTTGAGGTTTAGGGTTTAGGGGTTTAGGGGTTTAGGGTTTAGGGGTTTAGTGGTTTAGGGGTTTAGGGGTTTAGTGGTTTAGGGGTTTTGGGGTTTAGAGCACTCATACTCACAGTAGAAGCCAGAAGGTTGGAACATCATTATCCTCATGCCCTTAAGGTAAAGTATGGGGAATCCTAGCACTAATCATCCTACATCCATGTTCCAACTTTCTGTGGTTCATTTTTACCCTGAACTGGCCCTGAACCCTGAACTTTACAGCCCAAACCCGACCGGGGCCGCGGAGATCACCCGAATCCTCATAGGACCACTGACGTCTTTCAGGCTTTGCCTTAAAGGGGCCCCCTTACAGGTTTCGGGTTTAGGGTTTAGCGGCTCAGCGGAGTCAGAAAGTGGATACTGGTATGACTCAGTTTCCCAGCTTACAACATTCCCCGATCCTTCACGCAATATAGGGGGTCGGACTGGCTACTGAGAGTATCCCCTTGCAGTCCCCTCATGGCTATACTCTGCTACATCCCGGAACTATGTGTTGATGCTTAGGCCCCTATAGTAGAGTCGACTCGGATTTTTAACATATGTAAGCTTTACCGCTCTGGGGTCATGGCCCATTTGAATAGGGTTCGGGGCTTAGGGTCGTTATCGGTTGACAGTTGAGGCCACTTGGTGCAGGGTTCCATCGAAAAAGCCGTCCAGGGTTTACGGTTAGGGCTTGACAGAGGGGCCTCCAGAATTAGAGTCGGATTTTGGTGTGTATTATAGTCCTTCTTGTCAACCTACCAAAATGGCCACAGAACGGGGTGTCCTATCTAGTATCCTTTGGCGAAGAAAGTCTTGCAGTATGCAGCTCCGTTCGTTCAAGGTGCAAACATTCCTCAACCTTACCTTCGAATCTAATTCGACTGGACTCCGTGATGCGATCCAGAACTAAGGGGGACATTGCTCGAAGCCCTAAGCATTCAAACCGTAAGCTCCCTCAAGCTCACTGAATCACAACCAAGACCACAAAGACTAGGGTTCGATCGCAAAGACTAAAAGTTGCAAAACCCTATACAGGCCAACAAAGGCCTGTAGAAAACGTCAAAGATCATTTAGAGATCTTAGTTCTTCGATGCCCCTATACTGAATGCTAAACCCCCTGAAAGGCGGCCTCAACGCCCCTCTCCCCACCCCGGCTCCGGCATTTTCTCAAAGCACTGGCGGACCGCGCGGCAGTAGAACGGAGTGCCTCGGTCATATTTTTGAAGGCTACAGGGCTCTAACAGAATGTTAGAGACCCTCAACCCTAGACCCTAAACCCTAGAGGGGACTAAGGGCATTAGGGAACTACTACTCGGACAACAATGCATAAAGTTTTATGTGGGGCTAGATGTCAAGGATTTCTGCATGTTTGCCGGGACGAAGTGGACCGGCTTTGTCGCGCCTGGCGCGACAAAAAAGTTGCCGATCCGCTCAGTGGCCAACTGCGGGCCCTCTGCCCAGACCTTCGGGAGGATCCAAAAAGTAGATCCCTCAACGAGGGTTCCTATAAAGTACCCTTAGTGGTGTTCAAATTAGGGGATCTACTTTCTAGATCCTCCCGGGGGTCTGGGTGCACGACACCCCAACAATAGCACGCAGCCGCAGTGGCACGCCCGTGGGCCCCACCATCCGCAAGAAGCGTGAATGCGCTTCACAAACAACGTCCAACCTGCCAAGACGGTGCTTCCACAGCTTGGACTGTAAACGACACGAAAGCTGGCACATCCGGTGTTTAACATCATCTGAAGGGCTCAGGCAGCCATGAGAGAACTGCCTTTATTCAAGCGCTCGCCTCCTTCCTACAGACGATGGCTTGCCGAAGAAATTGTCGGCGACGGCGTGGGACTTGGGGGGTTGAAGATTAAAGGCTTTAAGCTTAAGCGTTTGAGGTTCATGGTTTAGGTGCAGCCTAGGGTTTAGGGGTTTGGGACGTAGGGGTGCGGCGTTTGGGACGTAGGGTTGCTGCTTGAGCGATCTGCAGAAGGTGTAATTCAAGATTCTCGTCCTTCAATGACTTTTACATTGGGCCTTAAGCCCCTCCCTCCCCCAACCACCCACCCCTCCCGCCGAAAACAGCTGAACTTTCAGCTGGCCCCAAACCCTAAACCCGAAACCCCTACATCCCAAACCCTAAACCATAGCTGCAAGCCAGTCTCCTTCAGGACGGCGCCAACATCAATCCTCTACTCCAAAATTTGTGTCTACTGTATGGCACACCACTCTTCTAGTCTAGCTCGGTGGTGTGTAAGTCAGTGTACACGTAGCTGTAGCTTAATATTCTACTCTCTAGCGCTAAGGGGAATATCAACCATAATGCAACTCTGCCCGACTATGTCCCAGTTAGACGGCTAACTCTTCCGTTGTTTACAGTCACCACCCCCTCCCCTCAAAAACGACATATCTGCTCCGAAAACACTCTAGAACCCACTGCTTCTGTTGCCGCCCCGTCCTGCAAGGAGCGAGAGGATGGAGAATCCGGAAAGCCAGATTCCCGTTCTAGTGTTTCGGGTAGCTTTGGGGTTTAGGGTTTAGGGTTTAGGGTTTAGGGTTTGGGGTTTAGGGTTTAGGGTTTAGGGTTTAGGGTTTAGGGTGCAAGGATGAAGCTATAGGGTGCGAAGTTTCGAGTGTCGGGTTTCGCGTTTGGAGTTCAGGGACTAGGCTCGGAGACAAACAACGCCCGGCCCCTTAATTCCTAAAGATGGCAGAGAGGTCGGACGCTCAGCTTTCAGACGGCTATTTAATTTTGAGAACCCCACAAAGTTTGCAGGCTGAGTATTGGTGAACTGAGAAAGTTATGAAAGTCTTTTTGGAGCCGCTCTAGAACCAAGAACCCGAATAGAAACCCAGGTGTATATAACCATGGAAAGCCACCATACGTGACCCCAGAAGCTTGTAAGAAACCTGTGTTCCTTGCACGGTCTGGTGATGGATAACTGCTGCCATGGTGCAGATTCGGTCCTCGAAGTTGTTAACCCCCTCCTGGTAAGCCTGGTTTAGGGTTTGGGGTTTGGGGTGTTGGGCTTAGGCCCTAGGGTCTGATGTGATCCTAATCTTTGCACGTTGATTTGAGGACTCTGGCTTAGGCTCCGGAAACGGTGGTCTAAGGTTGGATTCAAGGCTTCGGGTTTAGGGTTAGGACTTTGCATGTTAAGGACTTAAGGCTTAGGGCTGTGGAATTGCATGTTTAGGATTTAGGGTTTAGGGTTGAAGGATTTGTTGAAGCATGCCCATGCATATGCTCCTAGATACCTCAATCCTACAGGAAGGAATCCCCAATAATATAGGGGCCTTGACGATTAGAATAGGGTTTTGTGGTATTCTATACTATAGATGAAATAGGAAGCCCCGAAGTAGTATGGGTAATTATTTAGTCTCCTATAATGCTCGAACCCTTCTTGAAACGTCCCAACGCGTCCCAACACGAACCTGCACCGAAAGCTCTTCACCCAACCAAAACTGTAGAAACCATATCCGCAGAGGCTGGATTGTTGCACACCATAGTTGTTGCCTCTTTCCCGTACCTGTGTCCAACCAGGGCTTGCTGACATGATACAGTAAGGCCACGCTGATCGAAGATCACCTTATAGAACAACCCACCCCTCAAACTGGAACCGCCGACCCTGAACGCTAAACCGAAACCTCGGACCGGGTTCAGGTCCTAACCTCTAGAATAGGGACGCACAAAATCACATAAGCCAAAAATAGGATAGGGATATCCCATATAAACCCCCTTATAATGAAGCCCAGTGAGGTAGGGATATCCCTACAAAATGCTTATGCTTATGTGCTTTTTGGGTCCCTAATAAAACTCAAAAGAAGGGAGCATAAGCCCCATTCGCCCCTCAAGATAAAATTCAACCCTGATCTGCAGGTGACTTAGGGGGTCGTTGCTAAACCACCCCGCGAGTTTCAACGGAGATACCACGTCCCCTCATCCTTCAAGCACAACTTGAACCGAACATACCGCTAGGAACTCAGTAGATGAGACAGGGGCTGGCGGCGTATGTTCTTCTATACCTATAATATAAGGCGACGATTGGGGAATCTTGGTGAATTGACTCGGACACTCTTTCCGCGGGCCACGTGCTGTGGCGCGACGCGGTGCGTCCCAGAGGAATCTTATTAGTACTTATTCCGAGACCTCTGTTAGAACTCTACACGCTTAACCCTAAAGCCTATACCATGAACCCGAACAATATAAACCCTACACCCGAAAACCTAGACCCTAAACCCTTATACCCTAAAACCCTAACCGTATACACCCTAAACCCTGAAACCGAGACCCTAAACCCTAAAGCCTGTACCCTAAACCCTAACAGTATAAACCCTAAACCTACACCCTAAACCCTCTAAGCCTATAAACCCTAACAGTATAAACCCCAAACCTACAACCTACAGCCTAGACCCTAAAGCCTAGAAACCCCAAGCCTATCTTGGAACCCTACTTGGAGGGTCATGGGGCTTAGTAAGTAAGGTTATAAGTACCTTAATTGGGTTATAAGAATGGTTACCCTAGTTATAACCCTAGTTACTACGTCTCATGATCCTTTAAGTAAACACCTCCCAATGCCTAATAACCCTAATATGGAATTTGTAGGGACCCTACAAAAAAGTAGGTTAAGGTAGAAACCTAAACACCCTCCAAAGGCCTCGGTAGGGCTCAGCTGAAGCAGGGAATGTCCTCGGACGCCGTTTCAGGGCTCGGAAGAACCCTTCAGGCGGTTGCTATAGGGGGGTTTAGGGTTTAGGGGTTTAGGGGTTTAGGGTTTAGGAGTTTAAGGACTCAGGGTTTAGGGGTTTAGGGGTTTAAGGACTTAGGGTTTAGAGGTTTAAGTTTAAGGACTTAGGGTTTAGGGGTTTAAGGACTTAGGGTTTACGGGTTTAGGGGTTTAGGGGTTTAAGGGCTTAGGGTTTAGGGGTTTAAGGTTTGGGGCTCTTGCTGGGTGGATATATGGCTCGCCTGAAGTATGCGATAAGCTTGAGGTTTAGGATTTTCAGGAGGTTGTACAAGATCTTGGAGGGTGGATAAGGCTCGCTGTAAGTATCCTGAACCCTATAAAAATCCACAAAACGTTTAGGGGTTTGAGCTTAAGTTTAGGGGCTTCGAAGCTTCGGGCTGGACGGCTAAGTTGAAGGCTGGAAGGGGGGCTCTAGGTTGCGTTTTAGGGTTCAGGGTTTAGGCTTTAGGGTTCGGGGTTTAGGGGAAAGGCTCGGGAGTTCAGAGAATAGGGGTCCCGAACATAAACCTAGATACCAAGCTCCGCATTCTAAAGACCACAGACCAAGCAGCCCGAACTTTCAGCAACCAGGTCTGCTTCAGGTCTTACTGTGCGGGATCTAGAGGTCAGCGGTGAGTTTCTGTTCTAGTGAGCATGAAGACAAACAATAAACCTACTGTAGAGCCCCATCGATAGGGATTGTAGCAGGGATCCTACTATTGGTTCCGTTCAAGAAACAGGGTCTTTTTATCAGGGGTCTACATGTCTCTCCCGGTCGAGCCGAACCTCAAAGCCCTAAACTAAACACAAAGACCCAAACCCTAAGCCCCAAACCTTAAGCCCTTAGCCCTAAACCCTGAGCCCTAAGCCCTAAGCCCTAAACCCGAAATCCTACACCGAAACAAAAGACCTAATATAGAAGCCCGAATAATTACCTATACTATTTTCAGGGCTTCCTTCTTATGACTATAGTATAAGGGGGCCCCAAAAACCCTATTCTAAGTATGAAGGCCCCTATATTACAGTACCTTTATAGATCCCTTATAGACCCCTTTAAGGAGCCCTGAAAAGGAGCCCTATTCTAATATTATTAAGGCCCCTATATTACTCAGCCGGTCAGGTGTCTCTCCGTGGTTGCCACCTCCTTGCCCACCACTGCCTCTGCCTCCACATCTGCACCTGGACCGTTTTTTTGAGGGATCCCTAGCACCTGGTTCGGGCTCGGTCGGGGTTTAGGGGTTTAGGGGTTCAGGGGTTTAGGGGTTTAGGGTTTAGGGTTAAGGGTCTGGGATTTAGGCTTTAGGATTCACGGTTCTAGGTTGAGGAAGATTTTGGATGTGGCTGGTCTTGGGTGGTTTCGGAGGTTTTGGGTTTGAGTATATGGTGCTCAGGGGTGATTTAAGCTGCTTAGGGGCTTAGGCGACTTCGTAAGTCAAAACATCCAGGATATCATCCAGATAGAGTACTTCAGAAGGCATCATCCTCCTTCACACCCGCTGAACCTTTTCAGTAGGCAATACCCGCAACACTCAAAACATGAACATGCGCTGGTGTTGTACTTCGAATCTGCAGTCATGTAAAACCTTCTCACCCTGAACTTTTCGAAATAGTCTTTTGTACGCATCGCTATAGATTCGCGCATTTTTCATGTCTGCCTGGGCATCTAGGGGGGTTTAGGCTTTAGGGGCCCTTCGTAGCCTGATGACGCAAGGCTGTCATAACAAGAACCCAAACCAAACCCGTTAACGACTCCGATGAAGGCTTTCCGAGAGAACTGCAGGACCATTATGTTTTTGATTGTTTATGCAAACCCCTGTCGAAACCCTGATAAAGCCCCTATGAAAGCCATGGCCTCTGGCATTGTCAGGCCCATCTTTGTTCACCGGCGTTCCCTGAACGACCGGCACGGTGCTACCTGCGGCAGACTCTTGGAGATTGGCTTTCTGGGTTTGGGGCCTTACCAGGCAAAACCCCAAAGCTCGTAATTCAGGATTGTACCTTAATTGCGTCTTGAGAAAGTTGGAGGCGGGTTGGGGGTATGAGATTTTGGACCTAGGGCTTTAAAGGAAGTTGTGCTTTCCGCACGGATTGTAACGTTTGGTTCAACATAAGGCTCTGGGTGTCTTTACGGTCTAAGGCGTCTTGACCATGGGTTCAAGCTTAAAGCTCTGACATAAACTACTATTTGCTTAAGAAACCCCCAAAAAATAAAAATAATAATCCCTATATTACCCCCATAAGGAATATAGTTTTTTTTGTTTTTCATTTTCTGGGGGTTCTTAAGCAAATAGTAGTAAAAGCCTTGGGATCGAAGGACCAGCGATGAAATTAGGGGTTTAGGGTTTAAGGATGCCCTTGCAAGACCCTCTCCAACCCTAAACCCTAAGCCCTGAACCCTAAGACCCTTGAAATTAGGGGCTTAGGGTTTAAGGACAGAAATTACAGTGCCCTTGCAAGACCCTCTCCAACCCTAAACCCTAAACCCTAAGACCCTCTTCAAACCCCAGCAGACAAACCCGCTGCTGCAACAGACATACACAAGGCCACCCGCAACTCCGGAGACGCAACCCGAGAAAAACCCTAAAACCCTAAAACCCTGAACCCTTAAACCCTAAACCCTAAAACCCTAAACCCCTAAAACCCCAAACCCCTAAAACCCTAAGCCCTAAAACCCTAAAACTCCAAAACAAAAACATGGCTTTCAAACATTCTGGCGCCTCCAGCTGCTGGACCCGAAGGGTGGGAAGCCCTCTGACCCGTCGCCCTTCGTTGCACAGGGCTCTCAGCTCAAAGGGTTTGGGTCAAGGGTTTCAGGGATTAAGGGTTTAGGGTTTAAGGGTTTCAAGGTTTAAGGATTCAGGGTTTAAGGGCTTGGGGTTGATGGGTTAAGGGTTAGGGGCTGACCTTATCACTATGATTTTTTTAAAGAGGAGATAGAGTTGCCGCTTGTGCTGGATTTGGGGGCCTGAGGCTCAACGATTCTGGGAGTCCCGAGCACCAGATTAAGAGATGGGGCTGAAAGCTTAAGGACCTTGGAGGGTCGGGGGACTTAGTAAGTCGGCAATAAGTAGACTTATAAGTACCCTAAAAGGGATCCTAATTAAAGTTATGGTACTTATAAGTTTCTAAAATATCTAGTTACTAAGTCCCCCGACCCTCCAAGAAAGGCCAAGATTGATGAGGCAACTCCACGACACACTTGTTGATACTACACGGAACTCCGCATAACTGGGTTCAGGGTTTAGGTTTACCCTAAACCCTAAACCCTAAACCGTATGACCGTGAAATGTGCACTCTTTGTGTAAGACCTGAATCACAGGACTTCTTAATGTCGGCTAAAGGGATCCTATATACTAAATCCTATTTCCCAGGAAACTCTGAACTAAGGAGTATGTCCACCGTGAAGTGTAGGAAAATGAAGGCTCTACCTCTCAAAACCCCAACCCCAAGGCTCAAATAACCCAAATTCCCTACAAAGCATGATCTTCTGACCCAATCTAAGCCATTAAACCCCCTACCCGGGCCCAAAAGCCTGAAAATATCAGTCGTTCGAACCTACAAGCGTAATCTCAAGCTTAAGGAGGCTGGAATCTGAAGATGTGCTCAGGGGTGAAGGTAGTAGGTTTAAGGTTTCGGAGGTTAGGAAGCAGGGTTTCGGGGATTGGGGGTTTATGCTCGTGAAGGCTTCGGAGCTTAGGGCGCACCCCTAAACCCTAAACCCTAAACTTCATGAAGCTACCCTAAACCCTAAACCCTACACCCCAAACCCTAAACCGTAAACTTCATGAAGCTTCACAGAGGGGGCTGCCCCCCTCGGCCACCGACCTGCCTACGCTCGTTCCACCAGAGAATGGGGAAAGAAATGACGAACATCGCCAGGCCAATCCAAGGCGTAAGCATCACATACCTCGGACCCGCAACATGCCAAACGAAGGTTTCGAGCTTTGGATTTGGGGTCGGCCTTCTAAGTCTGTGAACGAAGGGCCCTACGATCGTGTCAAGAAAAGTGCCAGTTGGCTTAGACGTAGGTTTAGGGTTTAGGGTTTAAGCATTTAGGGCTGGGGTTTAGGGTTTAGGTGTTGATTTAGGGTTAAGGGTTGATTAGGGTTGATGGTTTAAACATTGGGGCTGGTTATCTGGGGGGGTCGTGGGGGGGGGGGGGGGGGCGGGAATAAGAAGCCCGCCTCATCTTGTCCAAAGTTCAGAACCCAGCTGCCAAGGAAAGGCAGGGCCCTAACCTAGACCTAGCCGAAGCTCACGGGTGCCGAGGTTTGCTGAGATCCCGGATCGCCCTGCTGTGCAGAGGTTGGGACCTCCAGCAATCCAAGCCGCACACACAGAGACAGGCCAGGAGCACGGAACGTACCACTGAGAACTCGGCCGAAGAAGCAGAAGCCTCACCTTGTCCTGGATGTCCAGGACTCGAGACCTGGAAGCCAAGGAGCATCGCAGGGCCAGCGATCCGAGCCGCACACACAGAAGCAGAAGCCTCACCTTGTCCTGGATGACCAGGACTCGAGACCTGGAAGCCAAGGAGCATCGCAGGGCCCTAACCTGGCCGAGGCTCGCGGGTGCCGAGATCCCAGCATCCCCCTGCTGTTCACAGTTTGGGACCTCCAACGATCAGGCACACACACACACACACACACACACACACGCACGGACCCAGCATGACCCAAGCAACATGTCTTTTAAAGACGGGTGCAGGCAACGTCAAGCGGGTGCATTCCAGCGGCAGCTCAAGTCGCAAGCCTCTAGCATGCTTCCAGTTGTACAGTCTGTCGCTCGTGGCTTTCCTAGCCAACAAGCCATTCAGCTGCATCCAGCTATTCAGTCTCCATCCATGTCGGTCCCTCGTTCGAGGCCCGGCCAAAAACTGCAGTGGCTCGAAAGATTGCGATTTAAAGCCGTCGAGGGCTGCGGCTGCAGCTGCGAAGCATATCAGGCATCGCAGACCTTGGATCACCGAGCACCCAAGGAGCAGAAGCAGCAACATCCTCACAAGGACCAGGCGAAGAAGTCGCTGATCCCGATGACTCCCAAGACCTTGGCCAATCATCAATCGCCCAAGGAACCAATGCAGCAAGAGCACGACAAGAACCAGGCGAAGCAGCAGGCGTAGTTCTCGAAGACAGCGAAGACCTTGGCCAACCATCGAGTGCCCAAGGATCAAAAGCAGCAACAGCCCAACAAGGACCGGGCGAGGAAGCAGACCCGGTTGGTCCAGTAGTGTCAGACCAGTCAGACCAGGCCCGCCGAGCAATGACATCATCGAGGCAATCGAAGGAATGGCAGAACCGGCCTCCGCATGCCAATCTTCCTGAGTGGAACAACAAGACCCGCTTGGCGGTTGAAGGCACAGCAGAACCGGCCTTCGCATCGTCCCAGTGGTTCCACCAGTCATCCTGAGTGTGGACCAACAAGACCCGAACGATCCCGAACGACACAAGGCACGGCAGAACCGGCCTTCCCGTCATCCCAGTGACTCCATTGCCACTCGCTGGATGAGAACATGGATGACTCCTAGCAGGTCAACTCGGGTCTAAACATGTCAAGACGTGCTTGGAGCAACGAAGGCGTCCTTCCACCAGTCGTGCCACCACCAATCCTGGCCAGATGCATCCAGATCTCTGTGATGCCGAGATCTTAGACAATACAGCAGAGCCGGCCTCAGCATCTGGATTGTCGTCGATGGTCATCGCCTGATTTCCGGTTTAGAGTTTAAGGTTTAAGGCTTAGGGTTTAGGGTTTAGGGGGTTTAGGGGTGCCGGCCTCCTCGGCACCGCGATCGCCATCTCCAGGATCATCGTCCTTTTCCTCTGCCCACGGGTCCTGCCAAGACAAGAGCACAAAGCATTCGAAAGCACCAGCCCCGTGCCTTGGCATCCGGCTCCACTTCTTCCTCCGACTCGTCGTAGTCGTAGTCCATCTCACTGCCCTCATAGCAGGCGCCGCCGTCCTCCATGGCCTCGTGTTATACACCAGATAAGAAGCATGCAGCTTCCGAGCGATTCCGAGTGCGCTGCGTTTTCCCTCTCCTCGATCTCAGTCCACTCGTCCACATGTGCCCACGTCTCGATCTGTTGCAGGCAAAAGGGCAAGCAGAGCACAAACAGATCGCATCCCCCGGTCCTCGCGGCGGATGCTTGGGATTGGGTCCCCGTAGAAGTGGGGATCCTGCAAAGGCAAAGCACAGCTACAACGTACAACAAACCAAGCAACGGCATCACACAGTCCTCCCAATCATCAAAGCCCTCAAGGAATGCCCGGAACCGCCGGTTTGGGAGGGAGTCCTGTGCACAAGGCAGGCTTTCTAAAAGCATATGATGCTTTCAGGGCCACCGGCCTGGAAGATTTCTCGTTCCCTGACAAGACAAGAGAAGTGACAGATAGATGAGAAAGAGTGAGAGAGAGCCAGAGAGAGTGAGAGAGTTGAGAGACCGTCATCCAAAGGCCTTTGTCGTGGTCGCAAGCACATCCACATCTGTACCTGGGCTGGGTAAGCGGGGGCGGGGCACGTCAGGATCAGCGAAATCGCTTTCTCCCAAGTCGAGCTCCGTATCCGACAACGCCGAGGGATCCATGTCCATGGCTAGCCCAAACTTTAAGCACCCAAGATGCTCTACAGGGCTAGTCCAAACCCTAAGCACGTAAGATGCTCTACAGGGCTAGTCGAAACTCTAAGCAGCCGGGATGCTCTACAGTAGAAGCCCCTAAGTTGGAAATTGCAATAGCCTCAATCCTGAAGAGTAATGTATAGGGAATTCCAGCAACATTCGGCCTTAGGTCTCCAACTTCACAGGGTTTACCATGGTTGCCTGTGGAACCCTTGCGAATGCAATCGAGTGCATCATGTTCCTGGACTGTCATGGACTTCTGGCCTTGCAAAATGCAAGGCTTCGGCCGTAATGCGGAAAGTCAGCAAGCATCGCAAGCACCCGAGCACCCGCCGAATGAAGTTGCAACAAGATGCAACGAGAGCCCGCCTCGGGAACGACCGAAGCAGCCAGCTGCCGAGCCTGCCGAAACAACCCACAACAAGGAAAAACCTAATCTTGCATCCAGACACCCTGGCCTCTGCAATCTGCATATCTGTCGGAGGCCTGCTCGTGCTTTTCCACTCCTCCAGGACAAGATCTACAACCCCAACCAGATCACGAAGAGGTCCCTGATCCTGCCTCTGGCCCCGTCGTCCACCACTCATGGTGGGAGACCCTGGCCGTCCCATTGGCCTGGTAGCTCTCGAGGTCGCACCGGCGACTGATTATCCAAAGTTCTGCAAAATTCTGCAAACCGATTCCGAAGCCTGGCAGCTTCTTCACATCGAACAGGACGGCCGTGGTTTTGCAGGGGCAACCAGCAACACCCCGAGGCAAAGGAACCGCTAAGGGATGCGAAACAAAATAATGAATGAGATCTTGGAATCCGGCGCATGTCTGCGGCACGGGCCGAATCGGCGCCGCGGGAAGATCCGCCGTGAGATGGCGAGGCATGCGTGAGAAGTAAGAATGTTCTAACCTTAGTGCTCGATTCTCCTATGCGATAGCACACTTACGCAAAACCCACTGCCAACAAAGTGGCTTACTCAACCCTCCCCCTACGCCGTCATAGTAGCTTAGGTTAGAATACGTTTCCTAAAAACCCACAGCCGACAAAGTGGTTTACTCACCCGTCCCCCTACGCCGTCATGGTGGCTTAGGATCTTAGTGCAGTGCAAAATGTAAGTTACCCACTGCCGAAAAGGTGGCTTGTCATGACCCGTCCCCCAAAGCCGTCATAATGGCTCTAGATCTTACCTACAAAAGATATTGTCTCAACATGTTTCAATCACAGCAGCTAGAAAGAAGCTAAACTGCCTGTGCTCATCTGTGCTCAATGTTTTGCGCATGCTCTCACCACGGCCTACCATGGCCTACTCTTCACTCGGCGCAGGCGACGATATGCGACGATGCTGTCTGCAATGCAATGACGAATAGACTATTTTCCAAGGGGTCCTACTAATTTCTTCCTATTTCAAGCCCCCCCCCCCCACGGAAATAGAACAGACTCGACCCCTCGCCCCCACCCATATATCAATAGATAGCCAGGGGCAATGTTTATACTTTAGGCCTAGGGGTAAGTAAGGGTTGAGGGCTCGGGACTTAGTTTAGGGTTTAGGTTTAGGGCTTAGAGGCTTCGGGTTCAGGGTTTCAAGGTTTTGGGTTTCGGGTTTAGGAGTTTAAGATGTCCCGGATGTGCTTTGCCTTTTTATCAGAAATGCGGCTTGGGGCTATGGTCTTTTACTCTTCGGTGTCCCCGGGGTGCTGAGGGGAGGAGTTTGCAGTGTCCCGAGCTCTTTGCGTGTCGCGTGGGTTGGGCTTAGACCTGGGCTTTGGGTATACTATAGTGCAACTATAGACTTTCAGGGCTTGCTGATTTTCCCGCACCCCTGTGTTCGAGTTCATGATTTTCGGCACCCAAGTCTCATAGACTGTTTTGGGGTGGCTGAAGAGCTTCTCGTGGCTTAGGGTATACACTGGCCTGGGGTTTAGGGTTTGGGTTTGGGGGGGGTGAAGTTTAGATAATAGAATGTGTGTTCGGCGTTCGATTAAGATCTCGGTGCAAGGCAGTGTATTCCCACTTGTCCCTCTTCTGAAACAACCCCGAGAACAACCCCCGGGCAGGGTCAAGAACTCGGGCCTCACAACCGTGAAGTATAACACTCAAAAGCTAAACCCGAGACCAACAGAAACAGTCTTAATCCTGAGGATTTGGTGCGAAACCCCAAACCCTAAATCCTAACATGGGTTGAGGATTTGGTGTTTGGGGCTTTGGGTCTCGCCACTGTTTTCAATAAAGCCTACTGTCCCTCCAATCCAGGATCCAAAGCCGAGGTGTTGCGAACTCCTAAGAAACAGAAG